GTCTAAATGCATATGAAAAGTGGTTTGAAACATGATGAAACAAGTGTTAAAAGAGGTAAAATATGAATATATCAAGGACTCATCTAAGTGTGGTTTAGGTTGGTGTTTACCGGGGAATATGCCATAGACCTTTGGGAAGACTCTATGAACTTAATGACGGAGATACACTCGGCTTTATCGGGTGAAGCTTGGGCGATATCAGGGCCCTCATGAAAGCAAAGGAAAAAGGTGTGGATTGCTTACATGTGTGCTCAGATTCCCATGTTTTGATTAATCAACTAATAAAAAAACAATTAGATACGGAGATTCATAACCGTCTGATTGAGATTAGGATGTTAGCTTCGTATTTTCGAAAGTTTACCTTTCTAAGTATGCCACGAGAAGTCAATGTTATGGTTGATTTATTAGCAAAAATAGATTTTTGTTTTCGATTTGTCGAGAAATTCGACTCAAGTAATAAAATTATGATTTTAACCAAAAAACAAAATTCTTCTATTTATGTGAAATGGCTATAGACCGAATTTCTTATTGCAGTTTTTCCAATCAAACTTTTTCCTTCTCAATTTCTTCGATCCTTTTCACAAACCATATTTGGTTATCTAGGACCAGACTGTTCTTATATTTTAGAGTGCAATAGAACTTTCGTAGAATAATACCGATCAAAAAATGAATAAATCCAACAAAACCTGATTAAGTCTATAGAGCATTGTTTAATGATGAGAAAACAACAAAGAACACTTATTTTTTTGCTAAAAACGAACAACATAGATATTACATATGAATTGAACAATGATTTAAGTTACCGAGTGCATGCACAAAAGTTCAAGCCTTACAAGTTTTTTACGAATAAAATCCTCATTTCTCAATCTCACCATGCATGATTTAGCTCATCATTGTAAAGTTGAACTAAAAGAAATGAAAATTAGGGCTCATGAGGAGTGAGAGGAAATAGAGAGAGAAGTTGAGGCTCCTTATCCCTCGGAGTCGGGGTTTGATTGGAAGACCCGGATCGATAAACCGGGTCGGGTATGAGAGGATTGACAGGGCTGAGGACGAGAGAGGGAAAATCAAGGATGCTAGGGGAGAGAATGTTGGGTGTACCGGTCGGAAACCCGGAATGGGTCGGGTTGATCCTGAGATGCTTCATCGAATTGCGTCGTTCGTTGAGTCGGAAACTTGAAGATTGCTTCTTGTTGGGGACAGCTTTGATCGGAGGGATTGAGTGAATGGAAAACC